GTAGGAACCCAAGGAACAAAGCCTTTTGGGCTTTGTATGTGAAGTACAGGAAATGTAATGAAAGAAGATATTCCAATACACATTCTCAATGTGTTGCCCATAGAGAACTGTCAGCACCATACAGCACACCAGCAATTACATTTCTTTAGCTCTACTAAGCTAACTTGAAATGTTATTCTATTGCTATACATAATATTGCAAATCTGAACATAGCAAAGTCTTGTAAGACTACTGAAGAATTCCAAAAATAATTAAGACAAATATTATGCATTTCTAATTATAAAGGAGCATCAAGCATACATGAGAAAATTTTCAGTTTTTTTTTTTCATATTATTCTCAAATCTTACAAGTATACTTAGTAAGATCATCATAAAGAGCCAGGAGATAGCTCAGTCAGTGGTTTAAGCACCTGCCTGGTACACGCCAGGTACTGAGTTTGATCCCTAGTACAAAAAACAAAACTGAGAGTAGAAGGATGGTTACCAGAAGCTGAGGAACTTAACTGAGTGATAAGAGGGATGGGAAAGGCTGATTTTTTTTTTTTTTTTGGAAAGGCTGATTGAGAGGTACTAAGTCACAATTAGGTATGAGTAAGAAGGTCTGAGTTGGGCATGGTGGAGCATGCCTATAATCCCAGCACTCGGGAGGCTGAGGCAGGTTGTGTGGCATGAGGACGGATGCAAGTTTGATGGCAGCCAGCATTACAAAGTGAGCTCAAGGCCAGCCTGAACTGCACAGCAAGACCCTGTCTCAAAAACACACACACAAAGGTCTGGTGTGTTACAGAACAGCACAGCACAGTTAATAGCTATGTACTGTGTATTTTTAAAAAGCTAGATAAAAAGATTTGGGTTTTTTTTTTAACCATAATGAAATAAAAGATAAGGCAATAGATATATTTAACCAATTGCAACATCATACAATGTATACTTGCATCAATATATCACATGGTAGCTCAGTTTTTATTTCGTTTAATTTTTAAAAATTTTTAAAGTTTACCTAGGTCATTTTTTAAGCTAATTTCCGAAGGTGGTTCTGAATCCATTGGCACGTTAATTAATGTATAGCACACGTTCTCAGCAGCCGTCATGGTTTCTGGTTATAATCGATCCCCTGATACAGGATTTAGGATGACAGACGACCGAAAATCTAAAAAAAAAAAAAAAAGAAAGAAAGAAAAACAACAAAAGAATAAAAAATAATCATTACAAGTTTTCTAAAAATCCCACAAATCATCAGCAATCATTACTGTCTAAAGCTTGAACTAATTTATGTGTTTAAAAGTAATAGGAGAAGCCGGGCACGGTGACACACTCCTGTAATCCCAGCACTCAGGAGAGTGTTGCGAGTTCGAGACCAGCCTGCCTGAGTTACACAATGAGTTCAAGGCCAGCCCGAAACACATAGCGAGACTGTCTAAAAAAAAAGTACTAGGAGATTTCATGTATATTATTTCCATAAGAACACATTTTAATAAGACACACCAGCCTGACCCTAAGTATCTAACCTCCTATTCCCCACTTCCCCCCACCCCTCAACTCCGCCGGGGACTTGAGGCTCCCGTGCAGAAGGCCCACGGCACACTGACAGCCCTCCAGCCCCACCCTCCGGTTCCAGAACGGTGACTTCTGAGCGCACAGCGTGAACGGCTCCACGCCGGCTCCGCGCCACGCTGTTCCGCAACAGTCGCGGTCCCGACCCCGCGGCCGCGTCCCGCCTGCGAGCCGCACCCCCCACCCAGCCACCCACCCCTTCGCTTCCCTTTCCTCCCTTCCCTTCCCTTCCCTTCCCTTCCTCCTGCAAAGCAGCCCCGACCACCAAGGGCCAGCCCAGGGGCTCGGGAGAGGGAGGACCCGGGCCAGAGTGGGGCCGCGCTGGGGCGTCCCAGCCCCCGGCCCGCCGTCCCGAGCCAGGCCGCGACTCGAGCGGCCTACGCGCTCAGGTTCCGGGCTGCCGGCAATGGAGAGCCGGTTCTTCCGACTCTGCGCAGCCTCTGCGATTGAGGGCTCGGGGCCAGCTACCTGGCTTCGCGGGCAGCGGCTGGGGAAACCCCAAGACCAGTCTACCGCGGCTCCTACCAGCTGGAGCGGCGACCGATCCCGACTCCTTGGCTGACGTGGAAGGGGGTGCGGAGACAACCGGAGCCCGAGCCGCAGCCAGCTAGGAGCTACGGCGACTCAGAACGGACAAGCCTCCTCCGTCCTGCGGTTGCGCGCTACCAGTGTATCAGATTTGCACTGTCTTCTCTAGCCCGCGGTTGGCTAGGTCACAGAGCAGAGTAGAGGTTCATGTTTATTAAGTTTTTCCTGTAAACCAAGCATCAACGCTGTTATTTAAAAAAAAAGTCACCTGGGATTGATATTCTAAATAGGTATCAATCACCTGGAAAGACAAGTGAGTCACTAGCCCAACCCCCAACAGAAAGAGATCCTATCCCGCATTCCAACCCCCAACAGAAAAAGATCCTGTCCCATATGTAATCCCATTGGTTGACCATAGTTTTGTCCCACCTCCTGCCCACTTAAGCGAGTTCCCATTCCCTCTACCTTAGCCTCACATGGTTTTACGCTATAAAAGTCCCTGGAAGAGACAGCTTCCCAGGGGAACTACTCGCTCCGGCCTCCCTCCTGTCCCTCTCTTGGACAGGAGCTTTCTTTCTCTCAATAAATATATTCTGCTCATAAAAAAATAATAATTAAAAAAAGTTACTTGGAAATTATTCTTACAGGAATTCAAACAAGGGGAGGAAGTGCTTGGAAAGAAGGGAAAGAATTTAACTGGGCTGTGTAGTCTATTGGAAGAGTCCTGAGTTGTAAACTAGAAGCCCAGGAAAATTTTTTCTTGCCCCTAATAAACTGAGAAGATAACTAATTACTGTCAGAAAACTAACTTTGGTTGTCCTCCCCCTCTTTGGTTTCTCCGTTTTTGTTTTTGTTTTTTTTTTCCCCCGGAACCGGGGATTGAACTCAGGCCCTTGCACTTGCCAGGCAAGCGCTTATTCTACCGATCTACCTCCCCGGCCCTCTCCGTTGTTTTAATACAAAGATCCATTTCAGTTCTTTACATCTGTCTTGAATCTGCCTCTGCAGTTGACTGCAATTGCTTAAATATCAAAAAAATTACATTGATACACCTTCTCTTTATTTATAATGATCCCTTTAGTCATCCTTCCTAAGCACCCAAAAGATTTAAAAAATTATGTGTATAAGGTGACAGTCATTCTTAAAGAATTTTACCCATCCCCAAAGACCAGTTACTGCTTTAATCACGCACAGAACCTTAAATTTTGCCCATTTGGAGTTCCATATCCCACCCTATGTTCCCTAATTCCCCAATCAGTTAACTACTTTTTTTTTTTTTTTTTTTTGGTGCAGAACTGGGGATTGAACTCAGATCCTTGCCAGGGAAGCGCTTATTCCACTGAGCCATCTCCCCAGCCCCCAACCAGTTAACTATTAATGATAGACGCTTGAAGCCTTAAGCCTTAAGCAATACACTGAACACGAAGGTCAATGTCTTTTTTTTTTTTTTTTTTTTTTTGAGACAGGATCTCCATATGCACTAGGCTGGCCTTGAGCTCACTGTAGCCCAGACTGGTCTGGAACGCAAAACAATCCCTCTGCTTCAGCCTCCAGAGTGATGGGATAACAGGCATGCACCACCCTGCCTGGCTATTTGTCATTTGTAAGGCCACATGCTTACAATACTTTGTGCCTCTGATTCTTTGCATTTTTCTTTCTTTTTTTTTTTCTTTTTGTATTTTAGGGAAAGGTCTACAGGGTGTTCAGGGTCTCACTACTAAATTGGACTCATAGTGATCCTACGAGTCTCACTACTAAATCAGACTCGTAGGGAAGCTGTTTACAGCTTCCAAGACCTGGCATTACAGGCATGCGCTTTGCCCAGTCTCAACACGCCTTGGGGGCAGGGCCTGCACAGCAGGCCCAGGAATTGATCCCAGACCCTGTGCCTGATTTCAGGCATTTTAATCCGCTGAGCTATTTGGCCTGCCCTTCAGCTCTTAAAAATGTTTACTTTTTCGTATTCAACAATGCAAGCAGAAATGAGGTCCATTTGTATTTTGCTTTTCTGTGTCTCCTAAGGTGTCATAAATGGACATACTATAAATGCTCACATTTAGAGTGTAAAATTTGATAAATTTTGACCTTGAAATGGTCATCATAATCAAAACAACAATCATTAGCAACACTAGGAAAAGTAGACTACACATATCCCCTTATTACCCATTCCTTGTACTCCTGCTTCTGGGCCAACAACAGTCTGTTTCTTTTTTTTTTTTTTTTGGCGGAACTGGGGTTTGAACTCAGGCCCTTGTGCTTGCCAGGCAAGTGAAACAGTCTGTTTCTTATCACTATAAACTAGATGGCATTTTCCAGAATTGTACATAAGAACAGCACAGGCACAAACTTTTTGTTGTTTTGACTTCTTTTGTTCAATGTGATTGAGCTTAACCTCCACTGTCCTGTGTAACACTTGTTCACGTCTTTGTGCTGCTTAGTATTCCACTGCTTATCCAGTCCTCATGCAAATGGGCATTTGGGTTTCCACTTTGGGGCTATTATCATGCTGTTTTAATCAGCTTTCCTGTGCAAATCTTTGTCTGGACACACACTTTCTCTTCCTGGAGTAATGCCTACTTATGAACCATCTGGGTCATGTGGTGGGGCTGTGCATTATTATTATTTTTTATTTTTTCCATAATTTTATTGATAAACAAATAGCAATGAGACAGTTTCAAATCAAATTGATAGGAGAGTTTCAATAATTAACACATTGCATACATTCTTCCTAGTGGTTAATTGCTATACAAGATGCGGACATGTTATCCTATTTACAAACACCATTAGAACAAATCACTCTATTCATTAAGAGAATGTAGCTATATATCTATCCTAAACACTTTGAATACACAGATACAAAATGGACATTCATCTGTATCCCCTTTTTTTTGTTAAGTTCCATTATTTGAATATTATAGGTGTGTAAACTCAGCAAAATATTCTAAAAGAGTCCAGTGGTCCATAATAGTATTGGGTCTTCCACTTCACTGGCAATGTCAGAAATTGTTGACCTGAGTCCCCTACAGCTCAACATAACAGCATAGCTTTACTTCTTATATATCATTTTTACACTTTTCTGCTGGATGGTTAAGACCAACGTAAAGCAGGACCTATGCAACAAGAGTTGTAGCTTTAGGGTCTGATAAGGTCAGTCAAATCCCCTCAGGATTTATCCTGAGATCCTGTACCTCAGATTGTAGAACCTTTGTCAGTGTCAGCCATGTGGATGAGTCACGGCCATTGCTTGGCCAGTGTGCTCTCTGTGAAAGCCTGAGAGAATGTTTTCTCTCCATGTGACTCTCCTTAGGCACACTCTACATCATCGATCACTTTCCTCTTTGGCCCCATAATCTCCTTGATCAGAAAATTTGGGACACTACTGAGTTACATGATGTTACAGTACAAGTTCTCCTATGTCCTGAGTCTTAATTGACCTTAGAAGGCTAGGGCAAAAACGTTGGCTTTCCTTGCAGCCCTCCTTTTTCTCTAATTTTGGGCTGCAAATTTAGGTTGTTAACCATCCAGAAGACAAGCTTATTGTCATTACCATACAACTTAGGCTGTTAAGCTTAACCTCACTATCTGTCTGCATATCAAACATCTTAGGCATAATATGGAACAGGTATTTTTCAAGTATTGATATGTTGAACTTTAAGTTCCTACAGAATATGATAAAAAACATTTAAAAATTAGAATATATTTTAAAAATAGGCATAAAGAATTATATACTTATGTTTACACATAAGTCCAAAAATCTCACCATATACAACCTTGAAGCAGGACAGTCCCACAATATTCCTTTTCCTGTTTCTCATTATTATTTTTTTTAGACACTACTTATCAAGGTAATTGTAGAGTGACATGAATATTGAGATCCTATATACTCGTCACCCAGTTTCTCCCAATGTTAACCTCTTACATAATTACAGTACAATATCACATCTAGGAAACCCACATGGAATTCCTATTCTATTCAGATTTCACACTTTATATGCATTTACATATTTATTTCTAGACAGTTTCATCAAGATACATAATAGTTGCACTAAAAGAACCCTTCAACCTTTCAGTCACAGCTAACCTCCTCCTGTAGCCCCTGGAATTGCAAGGACCTTGCCATATATTAAAAATTCCTAAGTCCAAGAAACCAATGCCTAAAAAAAAGACTTGTCCTAAATAGTTAAATGCTAAGTCAGGACTAGCCCCATAATCCTGTAATCCACTTTATGCAGTTCTAACCATGCCAGCCTTCAGAGGGGCACTCCATTAATTCTGAGTGCATTACTATCTTTATAACCAAGTGACAGGACTTTTAAGGTATTAGAAATCTTTATAATTATTCAACACAGATTAAATAAGGGACAGAGTATAACAAACTAGAGAAACGATAAAGGCATCACAATGAACTTTGCCTTGTTGTGGAAAGGAGAACTTTAAGTATAAAAGAGCGCTACCAGCCACAAATGATAACTGAGGTATTTGTAGGAAAATGGGTGCATTTTGAAACTAATAATAAATGAAGTAAAGATGGTGAAATATTTCATGATTTCTCTTATATGAGAAACCTAAAGAAAGAACTAAAACTAGAAATTCCATTTGACCTAGCAATCCTCCTGTAGGTATCTTGCCAAGAGTGAGTTATTAGTGATACATGCATACTCATGGTTTATAGCACCACAACTCATGAATGGCTTGATCTTGTTAGTCTTACACATCCACCAATAGATGAATGGATAAAGAAAATGTGACATTTATACACAATTCTACTCTGCCATAAAGAATACAGTTGAGTCATTTGTAGAAAAACAGATGCACCATGAGACGATGTTAGGTGAAATAAATCAGACACATGAGCTTAAATATTGCAGTTTCTCTTATATGAGAAATTTAAAGCATAAAGAGCAAAATGAAAGACCGACAATAGGAAATGGAGAGAGAGCTTTCAGCAGTGGAAAGGGGACCAAGAGATGCACGAGGGAGAGTAAGGGGATGAAGAAAGAACTGAGAGGTGATAGGGATGTAGTGATTATGTGCTTCAAACTTGTACTAATACAAATAAAAACGGAGAAGAAAAAATCACTGAGTATAAGTTAGTGTAACAGAGCACTGAGAACCAGGAATGATGGTGCACACCTATAATTCCAGTACTCAGAAGGCTGAGGCAGGAGGATTATAAGTTCAGGGCAGACCTAGGCTACATAGTGAATTTGAGGCCAGCCCAAGCTATATAGCAATATCCTGTCTCAATAAAAACCAAGAGGGTGGAGGGGAACTGTAGATGAGAGAATAAAGTAAAATACAATAGGAAACAGAGGTAGAACTTTTATAGATGGGAAGGCGATTTAGGGATGGAGAA